TGTTGGTGGATCTACCATTGTGGAGTGTGGAGGATCATGGCTTTCTTCTTACAGTTCCACTAAGCAGTGACCCAGAGGGGACTGTGTATTGTGGCTCCAACCCCACATTTCCCCTTTGTACTGCCCTGGTAGAGGCTCTCCATGAGGGCCCCACCCCTGGAGTAGGCTTCTGCCTGGAAATCCAGGCTTTTCCATACGCCCTCTAAAAATCTAGGCAGAGGCTCTCAAGTCTTAACTTCTGCACTCAGTGTACCTGCAGGCTTACCTCCATGTGGAAACCATGAAGGCTTATGTCTTGGACTCTGAAGCAGCATCCTGAGCCCAATTTAGCTATGTCTGGAACAGGAGACACTGGGATTCAGGGAGCAGTCTCCTGAGGCTGTGCAGTGCAGCAGGGTCCTCACCACAGCCCACTAAACCATTCTGTTCTCCTAGGTCTCTGGGCCTGTAATGGGAGGAGCTACCATGAAGGTGTCTGAAATGCCTTTGAGATGATTTCCTCATTGTCTTGGCTATCAACACTTGGCTTCCTTTCAGTTATGCAAATTTCTACCACCAGCTTACCACCAGCTTAAATTCCTCCCCTGAAAATTGAGCTTCCCCCCCCCCGACATGGTCAGGCTGCACATTTTTCAAAATGTTATGCTCTGCTTCCTTTTAAAATATGTTTCAGTTTTATGTCATTTCTTTGCTCACATGTAAGAGCATAGGCTGTTAGAAGCAGCAAGGCAACATCTTGAATGCTTTGCTGCTTAGAAATCTCTTCCCCCAAATACCCCAAATCATCACTCTCAAATTCAAAGTTCCACAGATTGTTAGGGCACAGTCACAATGCTGACAGGTTCTTTGCTAGTGCATAATAAAGGTAACCTTTGCTCCAGATCCCAATAAGCTCCTCATCTCTGAGACCTCATCAGTTTGGCTATCTGTGTCCATATCACCATCAGTAATTTGGTCACAACAATTTTACAAGTCTCTAAGAATTTCCAAATTTTCCCTCATCTTCCTTTCTTTTTCTGAGCCCTCCACACTCTTCCAACCTCTGCCTGTTACCGAATTCCAAAGCTGCTTCAACATTTTCAGATATCTTTGTAAAAATGCCCCACTCCTAGTACCAATTTTTTGCATGAGTCCATTCTTGCATTGCTATAAATAAATATTGGAGACTGGATAATTTATAAAGAAAAAAGTCTTAACTGACTCACAGTTATGAAGGCCGTATAGAAAGCTTAGTGGCTACTGCTTCTCAGGAAGCCTCAGGAAACTTATAATCATGGTGGAAGGCAAAGGTGTAGCAGCACTTCACATGTTTGGAGAAGAACCGAGAGAGAGGAGAAGTTGCTACACACTTTTAAAACAACCAGATCTCATGATATCTCACTCACTATCATGAGAACTGCAGTGAGGGGATGGTGCTAAACCATTTGCAGGAACACCATTTCCATGATCCAATCACTTCCCATCAGGGCCCACCTCTAACAATGGGGATTACAATTCATCATGAGATTTTGGTGAGGACACAGATCCAAACCATATCACCCTTTATCTGTCACAGCTGATAATGCTCTGAGTCTCACTAGAAGCCAGCAAGTGTCAGTATCTCACCCAAGGCCCTTGATGTAGTACCTGGGTATCACTGCTGGTTATTCAGGGCCCAAGGGCTCTTCAGTTAGCAGGTGATAAATGCTGCCTGGATTGGGTCCTTTCCTTCAAGGCAGCAGATACTCTTATTTCCCAAGGTGTGTCTAGAAATATTGCTGAGGAGTTAGGCCCTGGAACGGGTGCCCCACAGCTGTGACAGTTGCTTGTCTTCCTCTGTCTGAACTAGTTTCCAAGATGCAAGACAAAGTCCTCCCCATTCTTCCATCTCCTCTCCTCAAGTGGAAGTGGTCTCTTGTGGAGACATGAGCTGTGTGACCTGGGGTTAGGGGATCAGTGATGCCAGCTCTCCTTTATCCTCCCCAGCTTGTGTCTCAGTAGGTTGTGTGCCCCTCAACCCACTGTCTCTGGGCCTAATTCAGCATTAGGACTCACCAAAGAGTTGCAGTCCTTATGGCTTAGACTGCCTTTCAAGTTTACTTGAAGACACAGAGTGCTGTAGCTATAGGTGGCGATGTTTGCAGGAACTCAAGTTTGTACCACTAGGATTGGTGATTCCCCTCTGGCTAGGGCTGATTTAAATGCTCCCTCCGTGGGAGGGTGTCAGCTGAGTTTTTTCTGGTTTTCCTTTCTGTTTAAACAAAACAGCACTGAGTTTGGTGCCTCACAATTGCCGTGTTCTCCCTCCTCCAGCACCCAGAGATGCTCTCTGCATCATGCCTCCTCTGCCTGGGGTTGGGGAATGGTGGAGTCAGTGATTCAGGACTGTTTTTTTTTTTCTATTGCTCCAATGCCTCTTTCAGGGATACATAGTTAAAATTAGGTACTATGAGGGCTCACCTGATTTTTGGTTCTCATGAAGGTGTTTTTTCTGAGTAGACAGTTGTTAAATTGTTTTCCTTGTTGGGGCAACTATCAGTGGAATTTTCTATCTTACCATCTTGCTCTGCCTCCACTCTCTCATAACTTATTTTGGACACTACATTCTGTCCCTCTTTTACATTAGTTGCATGCAATAGCTCTGTCAATCTAGAAATTTAGATGCAGTAAGGGAAATATTCACCTATTGGTAGTAAGTGTTAGAATTTATTCACACCAGGAGGTTAATAAGAACATATGACACTCCATGACTAATGTATATTGTGCAAAAACTGAGCCAGTAGACATGCAGATACATTAACTTTCATCCCACTCCTCGCTATATATAATTTAATTTGGACAATTATTTTGTTAATTTAATGTTGCCTGTTCAGGGCCAGTTTATAAATAAGAGTATAAAAATCCATATCTCTATGAAAACAGCAGTTGCTTTTCATCATGTTTTTTTCTCCTTGCAGCATTGATTTTTTTTTTTTTTTTTTAGTGTTTCTATAATCAAATTGGGTATCAATTTACCAAGCTACTTGCCTGCTTGCCAATATATTTCTGTACTTTCTTTTCATTCTAATGCTTGTTTAGTAGACATGCACTAGAAGCTACTCATTTGACAGATTGTGTTGTGTCTATGTGGTGTGGATAAATGCAAAGACTATTGTGTTAATATTTCCCACATTATCTATTTTAGGCTTTTCTCAATAGAAATTCTCAAACAAGGGCAAAAGTAGCACAGCATAAGCAATTCTCTTAATGAAAATATACAACTTAGGGAAATAAACACATTCTGGAGTTGTTCTTTTTCAGTAAAATGAGAAGGAAAGGAAATGCTCACCCCAACTTCTTCATTAGCTTAAATGTTGGTTAAGTCATTAACTTTTCAATAATTCATGAAATAATTTACCAAGATAGATGTGTTTCACATTTTTAGATTTTCACTTTGCTCACTAAAAATTTTAATGCTTTTGGATTGCTTTGTGATAAATGGTGAAACATTGAACATTAATCTATTGTGATTGTGAAAGTAATTTATAATGAAACTAACAAAAAGATCCTTTGTGTTTCTATAAAACAGAAGATTTTTTTTAATGTTATATTCTTAGATATGGTTAAAGTTTTGGTGATATTATAGTCCTGAGATTATTTCTTTTGAAAAGTTAAATACTTTGATCTATTGTTTAAGTATATCATTCATAATAAAGAGAGATATAAGTAGTGATTGTTTAAAGACAGAAAAATCCAAGAACACTTTCTTGGAAGAGATTACTCAATGCATTATCCTCAGGCTATGACTTCACAGAAAATTAAATTCTATCATTCAGCCATTGATGGTTGAATTTAATCGATGCAGAGAGATAATAAGAATATCTTGGGCTAAAAATAAACACTCGAAGTGGAAGGACAAGAAGCATACTTTATTTTCTTGAATAATAGATTTGTGCCTATATCTGAATGCTTACCTCAATTTCAATTTTGTAAACTCAAGTTACATTAAAATGACAGAAAAAAATATACTTTCTTGGTCTGAGAATAAGCCGCTGGATTAAAAAAAAATAAATATAGAGAGAAAGCATGCATCCTCTTACTATGTTGACTCCATTTCTCTTAGTATTTACCCTTATTTCAGATTCAAGCCTACCCTCTTGACAATTTTCTGTGATTCTCTGTATTCAAGAAGACTCTATAAGGAACTTTTGCATAACTGTAAAAAGAACGGGGAATTAAGATAAAGATTGCGGAGAACAGACTTTTGGGAGTATCATTAGCTAGACATGTTGACATTTGATTCACTTTTAATTCAGTAATTTAGTTCTCTACAAAGGAGAACGAATCCAAAAGGACAAATGGTCTATATGTTTCTGGTATCTCAAAAAGTAACTTAACCTGTCTCCTGAAAGTGGTTGAGGGAGAAAAAGAGTCTTAAATAAAATGAAAAGAATGACTTCCATGATGGTATTAAAAAAGATTTAGTTGAACAGAGTTGATTTAAGATGCCCCTATGAACAACAGAAACTATTGATTTAAAATTCAGCAATAGTATCCCAATGCTGTATAAACATTTCTTATGTTTACCCCCAAATCATGAATTTTCAATGAGCCTAGCTTTTCTTGTTTCAATTTAAAAATGTGTTTATGTTTGAAATAAAGACACATTCATTAAAAATGGATAGAAAATAAGTGACATCATAACAGAATATCTAATTGGAAGGGTACTTTTTCCTGGTTAATGCATAAGTCAGCTAAGCATATATTTTTTATGCCAATTGAAATTTGTATGTGGCTCTTCATGTTTTTGCACAAAATTTACAATGCTGTTACATCCCTTTACTCAAACCACTGAAGAATGTAGGAGATGAAAGTAGCTTCAGCAGAAAAACAAAACTGTGTACTATTGCACTGGGAATGTTGACATGCTTTTAAAAAAAAAAAAAAAAATGTATTTGCAGTAACCAAATTTGAGCTAATTTTTGTTTTTGTTTTGTTTTATTTTCCTTTGCTTCCCTTGCCTCCATTTTATCCTAAATCAGCGGAAATCTGAAGGGAAAGGAGCAGGAAAGGTAAGACTGCAAATTTCAAAGAAAATTGATTTTGAAATGTTGTGTTTATACTGTGTGAAGCTACAGTAGTTAGTCCATGGAGTTAAAACTGTAAGTACTTAGGATAACATATGTCATGGTTCTACTTTAAAAGAGTCAAGCTGAGTTGTTTTCACATTTTATATCACACAGTTCTGGAAACAATTTTGAGTCTCATTTTATTTTATTTTCCCCCAATACTTTCTTTTCCCACGATGCCAAAACAACATACTGTTGACAGCATCACTTTGTGAATGTTCTGATAATACAGTTATTTTATGATAAATGCTAGCAATAAAAAAGGAACCATTTTAGTGTTAATTCACATTTTAGCAGTGACAGCAGAAAGTTAGTGAATACAAATCATGATATTTGATAGGGTCACAGAGAAGAATTATATAACTAAACATGGTTAATCAGCAAAATGATGATCTCAGAGAAACTGGACTTTGGAATGTCATCCTTTAATGTGAAAATTTTAAGTTCTGCTCAAGTATAGGCTGGTGCAAAAGTAATTGTGGTTTTTGCCATTAAAAGTTACCGTAAAAACCACAGTTCCATTTACACCAACCTAATGTATATGAACAGTTCAGTCTTCTAGAAAAATTTATGTTTCTATTGTTAAACAAATAAACTATCTCATACATGTTGTTAAATAACTTCACTAGTTAAACTGCACTACCACTAAAAATAAAGTTTTCCGGTTGTTTATTAACATTTCTTTCCTAGCATTTATGCCTTAGTTTCTTACTATGTTTTGAGGTTTAAATAAATGAATTTATCTTAATTTCTGATGAAAGACATTTTGGATATTAAATTCAGTAAGCCTTAAATGCTATCCATATTAGGCACCAGAATCTTACCTTTGCTGTTGCTAGGTTAAATATATATAATTTTAAAGATAAATTATCTTATTCTAGCTTAAGAGACTAAACTTTATGTTTGAAAAAGCACTTGCCAGAGAATGGTCTAAGCTATGCCGGAAAGTAATCTGTTCACCGTAGATGTCTTTATCAAGTGTGAGAATTAATGGAAAATGGAGTTTGAATACAATGCCAAAAGGGATTTTCATTAATGTTTGAGAGATAAACTAAACTAACAGCATCAGAGAGTTGTAAATCAATATATCTTTCGGAGTGCTTTCAAATGCCTATCTGAATCACACTGAGTATCAGTGTGGCCTTGGAGTGATGAATTTTTGAAAGTCAGCTCCTCCCAGAAGACAAAAGTTCATAGACAAGATCTCCAATTAAAAGGAGGGAAGCAAGGGTAGTAAAATGTCACTGGCTGCTACTATGTACGGTGTGATTATATGTGTGTGTGTGTGTATAAAATATGTGTATATATATTATATTATGTGTATATTTAGAGAAAGCGAGAAAGAATGAAAGAGAGAGGAGGTCTACAGATTTTGGGATTTTGTGTTCTAACATTCTTAACCATTCTGGTGAATTTGGAAATGAACTTGTGGCTCACTTAGTTCAACATTGAAATTTTGAAGAAGATTCATATTGGAAATATTTTTCTAGCTTAGTGAATGTAAATAAGGACATGTCTTTGTTTTAAAAGTTAGGATCCTGCGTATGGAAGTCTGGGATGAACCCATGTTCCAGGTCAGGAAACTCCTAAGTCATGACATTTCAACATAAAACACTTCAATATGTAAATAATCAATAGAAGGACCAATGGAAAAAGAGGTTCTTAGTGAAGACAATTTTTGTTTTTTTTTTTTTGGGCAAAAAAAAAAAAAATCGACACACACAGAGAGAGACACTGTTCAGAAGAAAGAATACTGCAATAGGGAGAAGGTTATGACTTTAAAAATCTGCAAGGATCTCAAAATTCAACAGAAAAGGCTTTTCTTTATAAGGTCAAGAAGGGCAAGCAAGCAGAGATAAGCAGAATCTTTTTTGGAGGTAGGGCATGGGGTATCGCTCTGTTGCTCAGGCTGGAGTGCAATGGCACGATGGATCACAGCTCACTGCAGCTTTGAACTCCCGGGCTCAACTATTCCTCCCACCCCACCTCCCAAAGTGCTGGGATTACGTGTGCGAACCACCGCACCCGGCCAATAAGCAGAATCTTTAAAGAGGAAGCTGGACCAACAAGAGAGTGGGCTCAAAAGTGTCTGTTGTTATCTGATTTCCTGAGAAGCTAATGGTTGGGACATATTCCACTTTTTTTAGTGGTTGCTCAGGTTTGGTGTCAAGCCAAGCTCAGGGGCCTGTGGGAAAGCGAAAAACCTGACAAAATTTGGGTAAAAACAAAGCAGAGGGTTAAAAATGGGCAACTGTGAAAGTTTATTATTTTTTCAGTAGCTTTTTTATAATAAAGTAAGCATAATAAAAAAAAAAAAAAAACATACGAATCTGCTTACTCTGTTCCAAGGACTCTATGTTTGTGCATGTGTGTATACATATACGTGTGTGTGTATGTATATAGGTATGCATACATATATATAGGAATGTGTATACACACATATATATATATATACAGTTAATCTTCACAATAATCCTTTAGGCTATTTTACAAATGAGGAATGGTGATACATTGAGCTTAAGTGGCTTGCCTAAGGTTACAGAGCTCACAAGTAGAAAAACCAGGGTTTGAATTCAGGCAATCTGTCTCTAGAAATTCTCTCTTTAAAAAGATAACAACTTGGAATCGTAAAATAAATAATCCCTTTATTTTAAAATAGTGTTTTTATTGTGTTTTAGTAGTAACATTTAATATATTTAACATTATAAAGACGCTAAAGATGTTTCTGGAATAGTAATTGTTAAAAAATTATTTCCGTCAACTACAATAATGCTACAGACCCATCATTAACTCATTTTTACTAGTCTATATACATCCCATACATTGCCTAATATAATACGGTTAACGTATACTATGGAGATTAGGTCTGTACTCTGGTGTCCTTTATTTTTGGTTCATTGCATTTATGTATACCTTTTGAAGGGTATTTTGGATATTAAATTCACGAAGCTATAAACTTTAAATATATTAAGTGTCAGAATATTCATTAACTTGAGATTTATTGCAAATGTTTCTATAAAAAGTTAAATTAATTTCTTGAACTCCTGAACTTCACCTTTTTAGTCTTTTTATGAATTATAAAATATGGCTTTTATGTTCAGTTTAATTCAGAGTATGGGAAAGTATAAGGTTCTTGCATTTGTAAAAAACTAAGGCAACACATTATCTTAGCTAAGAATGAAGTATCTAGATGAATTCTTTATCTTTTAGTGTCCAAAACATCAAAGAAGAAGATAATTTCTCAATGATTTCTCTAGATTTAAGTGTAAATGACTTCAAAGTACTCACCAAATAGGACCTATATTTGGATTTGAAATCAGAGGTTTAAGTTACAAAGATAGACACTTTTTCTACCCCCTCTTAAAAGATTATGTTATATTTCATAGATAAGCTAGTGGTAATCACAGCAGAAAAAAAGCAAATGCCACATGTCATAGTTCATTCATTCTTTCACCAGTTGGTATCCATGTGGCTAATTACTAATTAGGAGGAAGAACAGATTTCAACACATGGCCACCTGTGATTGAATAGTGTAAGCAGTACTTCTTTTCTTTTCTTTTTTTTTTTTTGAGATGAAGTCTTGCTCTTGACCCCAGGCTGGAGTGCAATGGCACGATCTCGGCTCACTGCAACCTCTACCTCCCAGGTTCAAGCAATTCTCCTGTCTCAGCCTCCCGAGTAACTGGGATTACAGGCGCCTGCCACCAGGCCTGGCTAGTTTTTGTATTTTTAATAGGGACGAGGTTTCACCATGTTGGCCAAGCTGGTCTCGAACTCCTGACCTCAAGTGATCTGCCCACCTCAGCCTCCCAAAGTGCTGCGATTACAGGCATGAGGCACCGAGCCTGGCCTACTTATTTTCAAGTAAAAAAAGAATTATAATTTTTTGAACCTTGTTAATAGTTTTAAAATTTTCCTTGCATGAATACAAACTGGTCTTTTTATTCAACCTACCAGCTTTCCCTTATTTAACATTAACCTGAACATTCATGTAGACATTTTTTTCAAGATCCCTTCCCAGTTTGGCTTAGCCTGAGACTAAATTGCCCTTAGGGTTTTCACAAATGGCCAGTCTTGTTAAAGAGAATGTTCACCAAAGTGCTAAACTGAATATGGCAGAAACAGAACTGACTGAGATTCTCCGAGGAGCATATTTCTGATTTCTTTATATCTGCCTGAGGTAAATTAAAAAGCGGATTCTTTTAGGCTCACATAATGGATAACAGAAAGAGTAGCTATAGTAACAAAGCAAGTAAAAGCAAATCTGTCCATTCTCTGTCATTGGCCAGATTACTGGCATTTGTGTAGTTATTTGCTCCAAGGCTACATAAAGATGATGGGGCCAATGAAAATGTTTGATCCAACATATATTAAAATACCCATTTTGCTGGTGTCTCCAAGGTATTTCTTCATCTGCTGTTTTGTGCAATAGTACAGACATGTTTGGAGGTTCCTGCTTCCGAAATTCTCCTAAAAGCATAATTTAGAATTTTGAATGCAGAATGGCACTATCTTAGCTCATTTTCTGTTGCTATCACAGAATACCACAGACTGTGTAATTTATAAAACAAGAAATGTATTTCTTACAGTTCTGGAGGCTGGGAAGTCCAATATCTAGGTACCAGCATCTGCTGAGGACCTTCTTGTTGCATCATAACATGGTGGAAGGCATCACATGGTGTGAAGGCAAGCGTGTGTATCAGTTTAGGTGTCTCTGGTACTTATAAAACTACTAATCCCAGCATGGGGGCCCTACCCTAATGACTTTATCTAATTCTAATGCCCCCACAAAGGCCCCACCTTCCATCATGTGTGAATTTGGAGATTACATTTCTAACACATAAAATTTGGGGGACATATATAAACCATAGCAGTAACATTGAGATTTTTTCAGTAATCTAAATAAAACAAATTCTAATGGCATGTTTCTGAAGAGATACATT